TTACAGGTGAAGCTGTTCCAGTTGAAGACCCGAACAAGCCGCTGGACGACTTAGAACCAGGTTCACAACGTCAATACTCTTTAATCGATTTTGAACTGATTAGAGTAATTGGAAGAGGTTCATAGGCAAAGGTTTTGATGGTAGAACTGAAGAAAACCAAAAGAATCTATGCGATGAAAGTTATTAAAAAGGCTCTAGTTACTGATGACGAAGACATTAATTGGGTACAAACGGAGAAACATGTTTTTGAAACGGCCTCAAACTATCCGTTCCTTGTAGGGTTACATTCGTGCTTCCAGACACCTTCGAGACTGTTTATCGTGATAGAGTTTGTAAGAGGTGGCGATTTAATGTTCCACATGCAGCGACAAAGGAAGTTGCCTGAAGAACACGCCAGGTTTTATGCTGCTGAGATATCTCTGGTTCTAAATTTCCTGCATTGTAAAGGAATCATTTATAGGGACTTAAAGTTGGATAATGTTTTGCTAGATCATGAGGGTCATATAAAACTGACAGATTATGGTATGTGTAAGGAAGGCATTCGTTTTGGTGACACCACTTCGACTTTCTGTGGAACCCCAAATTATATAGCTCCAGAAATTCTAAGAGGTAAAGATTACGGTTTTTCAGTAGATTGGTGGATTTACTGTATGAAATGCTAGCAGGAAGATCACCATTTGACATAGCGGGAGCCTCAGAAAACCCTGATCAAAACACTGAAGGTTATCTGTTCCAAGGGATCCTAGAAAAAACTATGCGTATTCCGAGATCCCTTAGTGTAAAGGCCGCAAACGTTTTGAAAGGTTTCCTGAACAAAAACCCAGCAGATAGGTTAGGGTGTCACAATACGGATTCCTTTATTGATATAAGAGGGCATCAGTTTTTCAAGAGCATCGATTGGGATGCGCTAGAGCAAAAACAGGTACCTCCACCATATAAGCCCCGTTTGGACTCTGACAGGGATCTGGCTAACTTCCCTCCAGAGTTTATAGATGAACCGGTACATCTTACTCCAGATGATCCAAGAGTAATTGAGAAAATTGATCAGTCAGAGTTTGAAGGGTTTGAGTATGTGAATCCCTTGCTGATGTCCCTGGAAGATTGTGTTTAAAATAGGTTAGTTTAATTACAGGGTGTTCAAAAATGGGAGGTCTTGTTTCAGCCAGGTAATTGTTCAAAAAAAAAACTTATCTTACGTTACAAATTCCACAGTTGTTAAAGTATGCCTCCAATATAGCAGAGGGGATGAAATATCTATGATTTAGAAGCAGAGTTTACAGAGATCTGGCTGCCAGAAACATACTTGTTGTTGATGAGAACAAAGTTAAAATATCCGATTTTGGTCTAGCACAGTTTACCGGTAGTAGTGAATATATGGGGTATCCTCCTCCTCCCGAGGAGGATGAGGTAACCCCATATATTCAGAGGAGGAGGTTATAATTATTATATTATAGTCGATCCTCTTAAGAAATTGGATAAAATCGACATAAACGCCTACAAGTACTATTTTCAATAAGCTCGTATTGATGTACTAGAAAATAAACTACCCGGACTAAGTTATGATAAATACAAAAAATAATTGGTGGGTTTGGGCATTACTGATATATACAGGGTCATTTTGGAGAAAGGAATTTCCAGGGATATAGTTCCAAATGATTATAAAAAGTACCTGCATAAAAATGTTGTAAAAAAACACGCTTTGTTTATCAAGAAGCCTATTATTGAACATTTAAAGAAGCTAGAAGAACGTGCTGGGGAAATTAATGTTTTGTTTGTAAAAGCACAGTGTATGATACAGCTAGATATTATTGCTCCTGATTATTTGTTTGAATAATATAAAGCTGTAACTGACCTGGATGGAGAGCATCCTTATTCCATTACTGTTCAAGTTGCTCCATTCGATATCAATCGACTTTAATATGTTCCATAGAAGATTTAGGATTTCTCTCGATTATAAACGACGGCGACGGTGCAATAGAAATAAGTAGGAAACATCGTATACCATTCTACGTAAAGTTTCAGTCGATGGAGAAAATATATTCTTTCATAAGTTTAGTGGATGGTTATTACCGGTTGACTTGTAAGTGGAAATATTTGTTTTATTAAGAGAAATATAAAATTGATCTTTTGTAGGCAATTCAATGTCTTGTAATTTTTCCCAATTATTTAGGTATTCATAAGGAAAAACTCCTTTACGTGACAACAACTCTGCATGCTTTGGATAATATTTTAGAATAATTTCTTTTTGATTATCTACTAGATAAATGCTAATTTATCGAGACTACTAGCCATAAAATGAAACGAATCTAAAAATCTAAAATTAACTTTTGTGTTGTGAATGTATTTTGGAAAGGAAATGTATCGTTCTTTGTTTAATGGTAAAAGACTCATGTTTCCCTTAATCTGAGTAGCTAAAGCCCTTATCAGGAAGTGACTATCATAGCCTGAGAGATTATGAAAGATAACAGGTACTGTATGAGAATCCTGATATTAATATTGCAGTGAGAATGAGCAAGACCTCGAAATTCACCCGTAAAATGTGAATGATCCTTAACAATTGTATAATTTTTATTAAACGGTTTCAAACAAATGTGACACTCTTTACAGCTTTGAATATATTGGTATTGTGCTTGTGTAAGAGGTTTCATTGGAATAATGTTACAAAGCATTATGTACATCTAACGCTATAGTATTTAGTTCATTAATAAACCAATTTATGCAATCTTTACCAGTGTACAGATTAAAACGTGAAAGTTCATCATTATATGAACATTTTATTTATATACAACTAACTGAATGCTTTTCCAAAATTGTTTGTGATATTAATGAATTTAAACAGCGTTCACATAACCATGATTTATTTTTTCGATTAGGTAACTGTTTATGAAGTAATCGAGATAAATTTTTAATAAGAGCAAAATGATATGTTTCTTGTTTAAAACATTCAATTTCATTATCATCATCATCACTACTATTCACATCCTCAATATCAGAATGGTTTGGTAATAGTAGTAAATGTATTTTTATAGAAAAGTCATTTTTACTTAAAGCTAAAGGAAAAATTTCATTTTTTTGATAGCTGAAAACGTTTATAGAAATTTTATTACATTTTTCAAATTTTGGAATATCCTTTAAATGCATAGGAAATTGAAACTTTTCATAGCTTAATTTTCTTTTATCTTTTCTATAGGTTATTTCACTAAAATGAGGATAGGATGAACACGATTAGAATGAATCGAAACAGGATTTAAATATGCAACTATTGACTAAAGAAAACAATATTCATCATTGTTTTTTATGTTTATTACAGATAATTTATATTTACTTTAGGTTATAGGATAATTTATATTTACTTTAAGTTATATTTACTTTAAGTTGAAGAATTTCATAAAGTGCCCAACCACTATCTCGTTCTTGAAATTCTGATAATTTTGTTAAAATATAATTTCTAATATATTCCTTATACCACTTTTTTAAATTTGTAGCTAATTTTTACTTTAGTTAGTTTAGCTTTACTTCTATTTCAAAATTAGTAGGTTTTATAAAATAAGCTAAAAAGTTAACATTAACTTTAATCATTGAAGTCTTCAGTGCTTGTCTAATTTTAATTAAAAAACTTCTTAAGGCCTTTTTTAAAAATATGTCTGTTTATGCCTAAATTTATTATTGCACCTGTTCGAATCCGCCCATTAAAACATGAATCAACATCTACCCAAACTAAGTTTTTTGTTTTTTTAGTCTTGATACGTTTCTTTTTTAAATGTCTCTATACTTTAATAACAATGATAATTGAGACTCTACTTTATAAAATTTTTTCACACAATCTAGTTTATTCTTAATACATTTTCTAATATTTATAATAAACCCCTTCAAAATTTTAGTCCTTTTTAAAATTTCATCTTTAGATTTAATTAAATGTCTTACCCTCTCAAATTTTCTTATCACTTCATTAGCAACACCATCAATTTTTGTATTCATATTTAATTTGTTATTAATACTTAATGGAATGGGATTTCAACAGTAACTGAATGTTTATATAGTCACATCTGAATATAAACAATAAATATGTTTTTTCGATTTAACTGAGTTAATTGTATCATAATTCATAATATTTATTCTTATTAGAATATTAAAATTAATTGCATACGATCATGATTTGTTTGCATGCATATAATTATCGTAAATTTTCCACAAATAATACATTTTATCACTATCTAGGATTTAATTAGGTAATTGTGTAACTTTATTAGATAAATTATTTTCACAAAATATTAAAATTAATTACTTACGTCTTGTTTTGTTTGTTTAAAATTGTTAGAAATATTCTAAGAATCATTAATTTGTTTTTCCAATGTATTACAAGCGTGTTAGAACTTGGTTTTATAATTTGAATAATCTATCGTTACATTACAATTTTTTACAGACTTAGCGAATGTATATTTTAATAAAATTATCATCAAATTGCAAAATAAGCATAATTATTGTTTTTAACAACAAATATATATTGCATGTGATTAATTTATTACTTTGTATATATTTTTTTAATAATTTATCTTTAATTTACATACTCATTGTTTTTAACAAAACGATATTGCATATTATTAAAGTAGAGGGAGAAGGCCGATTCTGCATCAGGCGCAGGCGGCGGTGGCGGCGGTGGAGGCGCACGGCGCATGCGCTAGGAGTGGGGGGCTGTCACCTGTCACCTGTCACCTGTCAAACGTCATCTGTCAAACGTCAAACGTCAAACCTGTCATCTGTCAAATGTCAAACGTCAATTGTCAAACGTCAAACCTGTCATCTGTCAAATGTCAAACGTCAAACCTGTCATCTGTCAAATGTCATCTGTCAAACGTCAAACCTGTCTTACGTCAAATGTCAAACGTCATCTGTCAAACGTCAAACCTGTCTTACGTCATCTATCAAACGTCAAACGCCAAAACTGTCTTACGTCAATCTGTCAAATGTCATCTGTCAAACGTCAAACCTGTCTTATGTCATCTGTCAAACGTCAAACGTCAAACCTAAATATAATTGTTTTTTAGTTAAACAAACTGTGGGAAATCTTACATCTACATCGCAAACTAGTATGGACTCTATCAATCGTAAGTAAATATTTTTATTTTATGTTCTGGCTTAAAATGCTTTTTTATTTTTTAGTTACGTGTGAAAAATGCTCGAAAGCGTTCAGCAGAAAGGATAATTTAGGCAAGCATATGAAGATTTGCAAAGGAGCCCTCAACTGTGAGTTTTTATTATATTTTTTATATTGTGTAATATTAAATGGTTTTTTCTATTTTATTTTAGCCAATCAACCTGAAACAAAAAATTTAGAGAAGACCTCTCTGAAAAGAACAAGCTCTCCCACTAACAGTAAGTAATTATATTTTTCCATTATTATTCTAAACTAATTAACTATTTAATTATTTTATTTAACATATTTTTTCCATTATTTTTAAACTAACTAACTATTTAATTATTTTTTTTACATGTTCAACTATTATTTCTTAACTTTTTTTTCAATTATTTAAACTAATTAACTATTTAACATATATTTCTATTTTTTTTTAACAGAAAGCATCTATTTTATATTAAATATTTTTTTCTTTTCTTTTAGTCAATCAGGCAGAGCCAGAGTCTTCGGTGCCAAAGAGAGCTAGACTTGGTTTCAATAACGGTAAGTTATTATTATTTTTTTTATACACCTTTTAAATTAAAATGTATTTTTTAGAACACTTGGTAATGCAGGAGGAAGGTGTTTACTTAGTTAAAACCTCATATAAAAACCGAATTGCTACATATCGGTTTTTATCGAAAAAAGATCCTATCAGCGTTAATGATTTTTTAGCTAATCTCCGTGAAAAAATCATTGCGCTGGTAAGATGCCAAATCGAAAGATTTGGTAATGTGAAAGTCGGTATGGAGCTTTTCGGGCGTTTCCTCCTGTAGACAAAAGAAGTGGAGGAAACCAAGTCCTTTGGCAGCCGATTTAGGGGAGCAAGCCAAGGCACCGATTTGGAGGAGCTGTTTGATCAGTTCACCACTATCATTAAGCGGAGATTCCAGGAGTTTAATGAAAAAGATAGTGGTAAGTATATATAATTTTTTCAGTTTTTTCACCATACTAATTATTTTTTTCGTGTACATTAGGTTGGACTCTTCAGCAACTCCTTCACATAGATGTAAGGATAAATAAAATCAACCCACTAAAAGCCTCATCTTACATACCATTAGCGAAGGAAATAGAAGCGAAAAGGGCTGTGTTGAACATACAAAACACTGACCAGAAATGTTTTGTATGGTCGGTTTTAGCAGCCTTTCATCCAATTCATTGGACTCAGAACGCCAACCGAGTTCAGAATTATCAATCTTTCGAACAGGAATTGGATGTGACAGGTATAGATTTTCCGATATCTTTGAAACAGGTGTCAAAATTCGAACAACTCAATAATATTTCTATTAATGTTTATGGACTCGAGAAGGGTTATAAACATGATAGGAATATTATTGAAGTT